CACTATCCATCCACCATCCATCCACTATCCATCCACCATCCATCCACCATCCATTCATCCATCCATCCATCCATCCATCCACCATCCATCCACTATCCATCCACCATCTATCTACCATCCATCCACCATCCATCCAGTGTCCATCCATCCATCCATCCATTCACCATCTGTCCATTTATGAGCTGACTGAGAAAACTGGGGTGGTAATTACTGTGAGTGTGTAGCCAGACCTGCATTTTCCCTGACACATTTGAACACTCCAGTCCTCTTACCATACTATTTGCAAAACCTTTCCCCTGGTATCAAGTGTGATTTTATCCTGAAAACATGCATAAATGACAGTGCATGACAACCTCTAGCCCTTGGAACATCAGGGGCCCCTTATGCCAAAGCTGGGGAACCCTGGGCTTGCACCACAGAGCACAGGCTCAGCCCCTTGGTCAGCAGGAGTGGCCGCACGGCCAGCAGGCCCCAGTCCTGCTGCTCTTAGCATAAATAGGCTTCATCTATCCCCTGCTCTGAATAGACATGAAGAGGGGACTCCTCTCACCTTCACAAAGGCCCCCAAATTTTTCAGGATGGGGAATCACATTATTCCTTTGACCCCATGAGTGGACATGGTTGGTTTTGTGTGGCTGGTGAGGCTCACTCTGAGAAAGCCTTATCCACAAGGGAAGACATTATCAGAGGGGAAGCAGACCCCAGAATGAAGTCAGGAGGGGCTCATGATGGCCCCTCAGTCTTCTCATGTATCCACCAGCCTGGAACATAGTCCCCAAGCTCCCAGATTGCTGAGCCAGGCCAGGCTCCAGCTCCTGCCATGATGACATGGCCATACCTCCCCTTTTGTCCCAGCCCTCCTGCCTCCCAGCCGCCATGCCCCACCCTGACCACCCCACCTGATACATGACTGACCAGGCCCACCACAGCTCCTCACTCGCTGCCCACATGTTCTTTTTTTTTTCTTTTAGACACAGAGTCTCACTGTGTCACCCACAATAGAGTGCTATGGCATCACAGCTCACAGCAACCTCCAGTTCTTGGGCTTAGGTGATTCTCTTGCCTCAGCCTCTAGAGTAGCTGGGACTATAGGCGACTGCCACAACACCCAGCTATTTTTTGTTGCAGTTTGGCTGGGACTAGGTTTGAACCCGCCACCTTTGGTATATGGGGCTGGCGCCCTACTCACTAAGCCACAGGCGCCACCCCCACATGCTCTTTTGTGGGTGGGTGGGCGTCCCTGATTGCCCCTCCCCAGCTCCTACACACTCTCAAGCCCAATTTTCCAGATTCCTTTCCTGCGAATTCTGTGAGAAAGAGTATCATCTTATTGGATTTTATTTCTGTTTAAATTAGCAAGAATTTGTTTCTAGTATTTGTAGTCAATAACTCTGATAAACTCTGATGCTCATAAAGGAAAAAATCAATCCCTGCACTGCCAGTCTCCCAGTGTTCTCAGCTGGGTCTGTCAGAGACCTGGTAAAGTCCCCCAGACACAGCACAGGATACTGAGACCTACAATGTATTAAACAAGAGAAGAGGAGACCCACAGAGCTACAGTGGAAGCCGCAAAACTCATCTGACCCCAGAGGATGGTGACAGGGACTCAGGCAGGTGTGTGTGGGTCCCCACTCACAGCAGCGTGTTCATCCAGACGTCTGAACAGCGTGTCTGTGCACACCGCAGAATGTTGTTCAGCCGTGAAAACGAATGACACCCAACACTTGCCCCAATGCAGACAGAACTCCCAAATATCACGTGGGTGAAAGGAGCCAGGCACAGACGGAAATACTGAGCAATTTCATGCTCATGAAATATCCAGAAGACACAGATCCGTAGAGACAGGGGATTAGTGGCTGCCAGGACTGGGGAAAGGGGACGGGGAGTGACCATTCACAGGGATGGGCTTCAGTTTGCAGCGACAAATGTTCTGGAGCTGGGCAGGGGGGTGGTCACATTGTGAGTGTCCCAAATGCTGCTGAAGTGTCCACTCTAAACGGGTGACTGTGTTGTGTGGATTTTCCCTCAATAAGTTACTAGGAAAAGAATTCATCTGGTGGATTCCAGAGGTGCAAGAGCAACCACAGTGTTCACTAAGGGCACAAAGGGGACTTGTCCAGAAACAGACAAGACACCAGTGTCCAGGCTGAGTGTGTGTGGAGACTCCATGGCTCAAGTAACTGGACCAACTTGCTCTGAGAACCCTTAGCCAGAGCCAACTGCACCCATCCTCGGCTCAGCCCCTTGTGCCTTGGGCCTGCAGCACCCTCTGTGGAGAACCAGGACAAGGCTGGGACCCTGGTGCTCCCCACCCCAACCCCAGCAGACCCCTGAGGGAACACCCAGGACAGCCTGCCCCTGGGGCCCCACAAACAGGCAGAGTCATGAGGGCTGCTGAAGCTCTTTATGCAGAAGCAGGAGAAGGGGTGGAGGGGCAGTAAGGGTGCAGGGCCTTGTGGCTGGGCCTCAGGGCCTCCTCCTATGTCCCTGCATAGGACAGAGGAGCTGGGTGGTGCTGCCCTGTGTGCTGGGGAGCTGAGGTGCCCCCTTCCCTGGAAAAAAAGAGGGGCAAGTAAGGATAGGATAGAAGTGGGGGCTGCAGGGTGGGGACCCATGGGGGGGGTTTGGGACTACAGGGTGGGGACATATGTAGGGAAGAGTGGACTCAGTATGGGGGCACATTGGGGCAGGGGGCTTACAGGTGTGGGCCCATGGGGGCCAGGGGGCTGCAGGGTAGGGGGCTGCAGGGTAGGTGCCTATTGGGATGGGAGGCTGCAGATAGGGGCCTATGGGGGGAAGGAAGGATACAGGGTGAGGGCCCAGGGAGGGCAAGGGCCTGTAGTGTGAGGGCACCCTGGGGGCAGGGAGCTGAAGGATGTGGGCATATGGGGAGGCAGGGGAGTACTGGGGTGCCAGTGGCTGGTCCTTGGGCACTACACAGCTGGTGTTAGAAGGAGTCCTTTCTGCTATCTCCCCACGGGCAAAGTTCTGTCCACATGAGGAAGGTGTGACCAAGAGATGGGGCCATGGAGGGGTATGTGGCTGTGTTTGTAGAGGGTCCAATGCTGATGTGTCCTACTTGAGACAGAGGGGCCTTTGGGCCCCAGGGGACAGGACACCTCTAAGGAGCAGTGAGCCACAGGGAGCACATGTGCTGGGCAGGTGGGAAGCCCCCAAAAAGCCTGAGGAGGAACTGAAAGAGATATCACACCTGATGGACCGAGGGTGGCCTGGTGGCTTCCACCAGTTTCTGAGGCATGGGGGGCCAGTCCCTGCCTGTTGTTTCAAGTTACACAAGTGTCAAATCCAGGTATCAGTTAGAGAAAAGAAAGGAGTCCCTCAGTGTCCTGAGAATGGCACTGGGCAGGCAGGATCTCAGAGAGAGAAGGCAGCTTCCCTCCTATCTGCAATTCGGGGTGCCCAGGAGCACCATGAGGCCCTTCACACCTTAAGGTTCTTGTTGCTTCAGGTGTCACTTACCCTAGCCTTGGGCAGGAGCACAGCTTTCTGTAGTGGCCAAGAAAGACTCAAGGTGAGGAGACGCCCTGGAAAGGGCTCAGCCCCATCATAGCCCCAGCCCAGACCCATCAGTACCCAAGACCCAAAGCAGGGCTTCAGTGTCCCCCTGAGGGGACTCAGGATGCACAGGGGACTTGGGCAAAGCCAACCACATACCTGTCTGTGTGGGCATGAAGATGGCCCCCTCCGGGAACCCCTTGCGCTGCACGAATTTCTTGAACTCTTCCAGGGCCCGAGGGTCCGCAGTGACACTACTCCTACCTGAGGGGAGGTGGGCAGGTGAGGGGGGATTTACTACACGGTGCTGCAGGAGACCACAGAGTGGATGCCGAGTGGACACAGAGCCCTGGGGTAGGGCCAGGCATGAGGACACAGCTGCTGCCCAACTGACAGTTCTCTGGATAGGGGCACTCCTAAGCCACTGAATAACCCCAAGAAACCTGGGTGGCTCCAGAAGCTGCCCTGCAGGGTCACACCCTGACCTGGAAGGACTTCATGAGGCCTTGAGCTACCCTCCCAACATGAAGGGTGCCTGCCCCAAGAAGGCCTCTCTCAGGATATCACCCCCACTGACAGCACACTGCCTGGCACTCGGAGGCCAGCAGATTCCTATCCCTGGTGGCAGTGTGGCTGACACCTGCTCCACCGGCTTCTGGACATGGAGTAGGGGTAGGAGACCTGGGTCTCCAAGGGCTCTCACCCATGATCTTTGCCATGCGATGCAGCCTCCCATGGCTCCGGTCTTCGCAGTAAAACACAAAGTCATCCGTCCCCAGCAGCTTCTGCACTTGCAGGAACTTCCTGCCCTCATCTGCAGGTGGCAGAGAAAACAGGTCTGTGGTGTCGTCTTTCCTACAGGGGCTGCTGCAGACCACGTTATGGGACGCTCTGCCAGGGCTCCCTGCTCCCCCGACACCGGGGCCACAAGAGACCAGGGGACATCAGAAGTGCCAAGCAGCTGCCCCTGCCCCATTCCCTCCTCTAACCCTCAGTCTCCCCCATGGGTCAACAACTGAGACCACCCAGAAGGAAGGCATGATCCGGGTCACAAGGCCCCCCGGAAGGGAGAGGTTGGCCCTTCCTGGGAGGTGGACAGGGCAGGGCCTCCTAGCAGAAAGGCTGCCTAGGTGCGCCCCGTTGCAGTGGGGCTGGTGCAGCCGGGTTGGACTCACAGCCTGTGTATTTGCCAGGCTCATCAGTTTTCTGCATCAGAATTGTTTTCTGGTGGCATTTATCTTCCTTCCTAGAAAACAGAAGGCACACGAGCGGCTGCTCCCAGGACACCCCTGAGCCGTCCTCGGCTAACCTGGTACATCACCCAGACCACTGCCTGACCCTCCTGCCCCTTGCAGAGTTCAAGAGTGATCAGCTATCTCCACTCGGAGTCAGATATTTTTACCACAAATGAAACATGGGGCCCCATGCAGGGCTGTGGAGGGGGAGAGAAAGCAGCCTGAGGGGGCTGAGGGGGCAACACTCACATGAAGGTGATTGTGACCTCCATGTCCCTGTCGTCCAGGATTGTTACCCTGACAGGGAATACTTTCTGAAACTTGTTCTCCTTCTGCAGGTCCTTGTCAGTAACCATGGCCTTCACGTACCAAGTCCCTGAGAGCTGGAGCAGCCCAGGCTATGAATCCCCCACGGACCACCCCAAGCTATCCCCCAACCCAGCACCCCAGCTGCAGCCCCAAAGGCAGGCTGGACACATATTCATCCTGCACCCTGAACCCTGAACCCTGAACCCCATGCTCAGGTGCAGCCAACCCAGCACTCAGGCGCCCAGGCTCCATTGACAGAGGGTGTTGACCCCAATGGACCAGGCCTGGCGCCGGGTGAGCCCTCCCTGTAAGACCTTGGGTTCCAGGAGACAATGCAGCAGGACCTTGAGTTGAACCTGCCTCCTGAGGGACTGTGTCTACCCCAGGACAATAGGACCCTGTTCTCTGAACACTCTAGGCCCAGAGAGCAGGGTCAGAGCTGGCCTTAAAGGACACCTCCTAGAACAGGGCCCATGGCTACTTCCCCAGCCTTGCTCTTTCACCCACCCACAGGCCTAGCCCAGCTCACATCCTGATGTTCCAGGGCCAAGGACAGGGCAGCGACCAGGCCAAGCACGGCCGTCAGGAGCAGGGCCTTCATCTTCAGGACTATTGCTCACAGCCTCAGCAGGTCACCTCGCAATGCTCTTTATAGCCCCAGTTGGTGGCTTGTGTGCACTTGGCACAGACCCCCACCCCTCCCCCACCCATTGTGGCCAATACCGCATCCGGGAAGGTGGACTGTCGCTATTGTTGGGATCTGATGAATGGCAATTAAGTGCCACTCAGAGAAGAAAAGATGTGATGGCATCCAATGTTCTCACCACCCAGACGTGCTCACTCAGACAAGTGGGAGGAGCCTTGTCAGAGTGAGGGCAGGGTGGGGAGCCAGGGAGGGAAGGCCATGGCTTTGTGATGTTCCCTCTGCCACCTGTGCCCTCCCAGTGCCATGGCTGAGGTCATGGAGAGCTCTCTGAGGGAACTGGCTGTTTTACCTCCTGCTGATGAGAAAGGGACTTAGCTTCATCACCAGAGAGACACGTGGTACTGTCCCCTAGAACCAGCCTCTTGCCTGCCCTGGAGGCCCACCCTGCATTGCTCTGCTCCTGCCTAGGACTCTCCACCTGCTAGAGTTTCCTGGGGTTGAAAAGGGCATATGTTGTGGGTTCAGGTCAGTTGAAATGTTGCCTCCTTAGGCCACAGTCAGGATAATATCACCTCTCACATCCCACATGGGTGCTGTCAGGAGTCAAAAGAGTGGAGTCAACTCACAACAGGCACCATGAAAGAAAGGAGGGAGGCAGGGGAGCGATACCCCACTCCATCACTCCATGGCCTGGGGCATTTCTCCAGATGGCTGTGCTCCTTCTGATGGTAGTTCTGCTGGGCTGCCTCTGCTCCACAGCTCACACTCTCAGTACTTCTGGTAACACCCCTCACTGCCCTTGCCTTTGAATCTCAGGGTGGTCATGGCTTCTCAGGACTGCTAATTCCTAGGTGCCTCACTGAAGTGGACAGTGTCTGAGCTTTACTCAACATTTGGGTATAAGAAGGTTTTCATGGCATCACCAAACAAACACCCAGACCAGAGGGTATGCTGGATGGGACTGAGGCATTATTAAGGGGTAGGGGAGAAACTTAAGATAAATGTCAGTGAAGGCTGCAAGATCAACTGGACAATGCCATTAACTATCTATTTTAATTATTTTGAAAACTGTGACCAGCCCCCACCCTGAGGCCTTGGCTACAGAATGAATCTGATTTGGAGCACAAGTCAGTGCATGCAGTGTAAGACATGAGCTGTGGTTGAAGGTGTTAGTGGCCAACCCTGTCAGCCCACCTGCAGATGTTATCAACAGTTCCTGGCATACTGACATATTCACAGCATCCCACCATAAGTGCCTGCATCCTTTCTTCCATGTTTCCCCTGACACAGACCAGTGAAACCCAGATGTGGAGGTAAATTAACACACAAGTCAATAGGGATAGTAACTGAGTGGAAAAACAGCCTGAAATCTTCCTTTCAACATGACAATCTGATATGCTTTCACCCTATGTCTCAGAGAGTCCTCAGGACTGAGTCCTAGCTGCGCACAATGGCCACATCACTTTTATTGGTTTTTCTGCGTTCCAAATCTCATTTTATCTCAGACTTCTTTCCTCCATAACTATGAGGAAATTAATTTATGTTCTAAGGCACCCAATTTGTGGCACGTTTTTGCAGTAGCTCTAGGAAAATAATATAAGCCCTAGTATATTAAAGATTATAAAAAGTGTAAGTTGTCTAAATATTCCAGTTGGAGCACAGTGATTGGCAGAGTAAATTAAAAGCTGTGATACAGCTATATGCTGTTCTTAAGAAACTTAATTCAAGTTCGACAATAGAGGCAGGTTTAAAGTAAAAGCATAAAAAAGATATAATATGCAAACATTAATCAAAAGCAACCAGAACTATTATTTTAATAATAGATAAAATAGACTTCAGAATGAAGAGGGGCATTATATAATAACAAATGGCAAGACATAAAAGTTTTAAATATGCATGCGCCAAACAACAAAGCTACACTACATGTGAATCAAAACAGATAGAACTGAAAGGATAGAACCATAATCAGATCTAACAATTTCAACATTCTTCACTCAATAATTAATAGAACAAGTAGTCAGAAAACAAGCAGGGACAATGAATAACTCAAACACTTCATCAGCCAACACAATCTAATTGACATTTGTAGAACAGTCCACCCAACAACAGAACTACACATGTTCTTTTAAAGTACACAAATACCAAGAGAAACCATATCTTGGATCATAAAATGAACCTAAGAAATTTGAAAGAACTAAAACAATATAGAGTGTGTGCTCTGACCACATAGACTCAAACTAGAAATCAATATCAAAAAATGAAAAATATTTCTTCAGATGCTTGAAAACTGAACAGCATACTTCTAAACAATCTACAGGTTAAAGAGAAAGTCTTAAGGTAAATAAAAGAATACACTGAACTGAGTGAAAATGAAAACACAACATACCAAAATTTGTGGGACCCAACTAAATCAGTGCTGAGGGGAGTATTATGGCACTAAATGCATACAGAAGAAATGGAGAGAAGTCTAAAATCAATCATCTAAGCCCCTACTTCAAGAACTTAGAAAAATAAGAACAAAAGAAACCCAAAGTAAATGAAAGAAAAACTAATAAAGATCAGAGCAGAAATCAATGAAATTGAAAGGGGGGGCAGAGTAAGATGGTGGACCAGAAGGATCATTGACCTGCCCTCTCCTAGAATGACTGGGAAAAAGGAGAGAACCCAGCATGGGGACCTTACCCAGAGTCATAGCTCAGGGAGCATGGGAAGAAGGTGGTGAGCTGGATACAGCATATGATCCAGAGTGGTGGAAATCTGATGAATTAGGCAAGTGATTGTGACTGGCTGGGATCAGCTAGTCCCCCACCCCCAACCCCATTGAGGTTTGGGTCCCATCCTCTGGGATGGGAGGAAGCCTTTCCAGAGTTTCCAGTTTGGGAAAGCTGCACCTTGAATGGAAAGCTAGGAAGAGTGGGCAGACTTGAACAGTATATAGCAACAAGATCTGAATGCCAGTTGGAGTGGATTTGCCATAGGTTTGGTGTCTGGAGAGGCAGCCACACTGAGAAAGTCTTGGTAGCCAGGGTGCTGCCATTGTGGGAAGGTATGAGAAGATCTTAGCAGGGGCTGAAAGCATGGCCATCTTAATTCTGCCTGCTGGAACCAGAACTCCACTCTTGGGACAGGCTGAAGGACTCCCTCACCCCACAGGAACTGGAGTCGGGGGCACAGTGAGACCTGTCCCAGAAAGATTCTTGTGACCTTTAAGATCCCAGCCCCACAGAGTCTGAATGCTGAGGAAACAATGAGGTGATCACCAAAGGTAACTAAGTTTGGAATAAGGACCATAGAGGTTGCTGGCTGTGTTCTCTGTCTCCTAAAAAAACCACACCACCACCTAGTGTCCTGGTAACATATTGCAACATACTGTCATCAAGAGCAAGGACTTCTGTCTGAGACAAAGGGGGCATTGAGAAGGAAAAAGAAGACCAAGGAGGTGAACTAGAAGAAAGAATGTATGAGGAGGAACCAACAGAAAAATTGAGGCAACATGAAAAACCAAAACAGAGAAACTCCCCCAAGGGACCATGAAGCAGCTACTATAGAAGACTCCAACTATAAAGAATTAATTGACTCGACAAAAAGGGAATTTAAAATATGGATGATAAAGACAATAAAAGGAATGGATGAGAAAATAGAAAGACAGAACCAAAAGTTGGATGAGAGATATGTAGATTATAGAAAGGATATGGCAGAGCTTAAGGAAATGAAGGAGACGATCAGAGAATGTAAAGATGCAGGAGAAAGTATCAACAATAGGATAGACCATGGAGAAGAAAGAACCTCAGAGCTAAAGGATAAAGTTTTCGAGTTAACCCAGGTAGTTAAAGAGGCAGAAAAGAGAGAGAAAGCAGAACAGGTGCTTAGAGAACTACAAGACTCCATGAAGCATTCAAACATACAAATAATAAAGATTCCTGAAAGGGAAGAAGATTGTCCCAAAGGAATGGAAGCCCTGGCTCGGCACCTGTGGCTCAAGTAGCTAAGGCACCAGCCATATACACCCAAGGTGGTGGGTTCGAATCCATCCCAGGCCCGCCAAACAACAATGATGGCTGCAACCAAAAAATAGCCAGATGTTGTGGCGGGTGCCTGTGGTCCCAGCTACTTGGGAGACTGAGGCAAGAGACTCACTGAGCCCAGGAGTTGGAGGTTGCTGTGAGCTGTGATGCCACAGCACTCTACCCAGGGGGACAGCTTGAGGCTCTGTCTCAAAAAAAAAAAAGGGGGGGAATGGAAGCCTATTGGAGACCATAATAAAGGAAAACTTCCCAAGTTTTACTAAAGACCCCAACACACTCATTTCAGATGGATACCAAACCCCAGATAATCTCAATTCAAACAGAGCCTCTCTAAGATACATTGTAATGAAACTGTTCAAAGTCAAGATGAGATGACAAGAGGACATTGGTGGTAAAGAGGTCAGCATAGCTGCCTTCCAACATCATGATGACAGAAAAAAATTCTGCAAGCAGCCAGGAGTAAGCACCAACTGACCTACAGAGGCAAAGCCATTAGGATAACAGCAGACTTGTCCACTGAAAACTTTCAAGCCAGAAGAGCATGGTCATCGACCTTCAACATTCTCAAACAAAACAATTTCCAGCCCAGAATTCTGTATCCTGCTAAACTAGCCTTCAAAATTGATGGAGAAATGAAATCTTTTGAGGATATACAAGCACTGAGAAAATTTTCCACAACAAGACCAGCTACACAGGAGATACCTAGACCTATTCTCAACACTGACTATCATCAGCAAATACCCAGAAGCTAAAGGTCAAAACTTTGCTTCCACAATGGCACAAAGGACTACACAACAGGCTTTCACAAAATAAGATGAATAGAACTCCACCACACTTATCAATTCTCTCAATAAATGTTAATGGACTGAATTCAACACTGAAGAGGCACAGGCTGCCTGATTGGATAAAAAAAGCACAAGTCATCCATAT